GTATTACAGTCCTGTAAGACCCACAAATGGGGACAGCTAAAACCTTTGATGTTAGGATGGCAGTGCTTCCAGGCAACCTGTGAATGGCGCTCAGCATCCTCAGCTCTGCAAGAAGTACTGTATCATCCCACAAAGGGGCAACCAACAGAATCAGCATCTGCATTAGGAAGATATTATTTTTTTCTCAACTGCTGTAAGATTTTGGAATAAACTCCTATCCTCAGTAAAAGGGAAAATCATAAATCTCATAGCTGTTACCAGAGACATCCACCCAAGCACTGGCCTATTTATTATGGTCAGCTGCCTGCCAGTCTTCCTTCCTTACTGCAGGGCAGGGACCCCCCGCAGTCAGCCAGTGCCCTGTGTTTCTTGAAATGTACCTGCTAGCCTCTGGGCAATGTAAATGCCATTGGGGAGTGCAGGATCTGCTCTGTCAAAGCCCAAATATTCCCAGCTGCTTTCAAGTTGTGTCTGTATTGGAAGTCTGCAAAACAACTGCGTGGGGCAGCTCAGTTACACCAGTCAGGTCATACCTGTCAAGGAAAGGGTTTTGGTCACTGATGGATGAAACTGATATCCTATCTTCCTACCTTCCTGAGAGTTTGCTGGTTTCTTAATCAGTAGCAGCACTATCCACACTTCCACATATATAGATAAAACAATTTCTTTCCCTACTGTTACTGTAATTAATTGAACTTCAGTGTAATTTAGTGATTAGCATTTCTGCCTCTGGAGTTTTCAACTACTGTTAGGTAGCAGGGAGACTGAGTTGGGCTTTGGTGATGCTTTCCTGTATCCTGACAAGAGCTGGGGAAACAGAAAACTCATACCTAATATGGATAGTGCTACTCAAAGAAACCCACCTGCGTGATCCATGTTAGGCTAGGTGCTGTAGGGCAACTGTTCATCCTCAGTTGAGCCATATAAGTTGACATCTGATGTTGTATAAGTGATTCGTAAGTACTGCCGCAGTAGATGAAAATGCTGTAATTTTGAGCTGCAGTTCCTATGATTTACATTGGAAAAAATAGATTTTTCCATCAATGGGAGTGTGTGTGGAACTTAACATTTCAAGTGGATGAATTCCATTTAATGTGAAAGACGTTTCCGATTTGTGCTGCAGGATGTGAGGTGAGGTGCCAGAAGGAAATGGGCTAAGAACTCTTCTTGAAGGTGTAGGCAGTGCATCTGTTGGTGATTAGGAGTGGGAGATGTGTGTGTGCTTGCCTATACATATAGAAAGAGGTCCCAGAATTTACTTGTCAGGATGCTGCTCTTCAAAGTCTTGAAGATAGATACTGTACATCCTTTCATATGCTTTAGGCAGGTAAAGTTAGGAGAAGAATTAAATGTTGCTGCTTTGCCTTCTGTTGCAGACATTTAAACTTACAGAGAAATGTACTGTTTAGTAAAAGAGACGGTGAGTTTACTGTGGGTACATGAGCTATGGAAGTTTGTCCTTGAGAAAGAAGTGCAAGTTCTTTGGATGTGTTTGAAGTAGTCTGTTTTAAGCAGTGTCTTATTTTAATTGCTTCTATGGGGTATGGTTGTGGTCCAGGATGTGGCAGTTTCAGAAAGGAAGGAAGGAAGGGCTCAAAATAGGCCTCTCCCCCTTTGTAGCATATGCCTCTGGGTGGAATTGGAAAGGGCAAGAGGTCTCATGTTGCAGGGTCATTTGTGTATTTCCTTCAGCCTTTGGCATGTCATGAGGCGTTTGCTGTGGGATCTCAAACTACATCTTTTCTCTCATAACCTTTGCTGTCAGATTTAGTTCCTTTATTTGCTCCTTGCAGAGTTATTTTACATGACATTAAGGTTAAGTAGAAGCTTTTATTACTGGTATTTTTGATGTGTATGAATAACCTCCATTCAGAAACAAATTTGTCAACCTTTTTTTAAGTGTCTGTTGTAATTTAAAAGTGAAAGAAGATTTTCTTGAGGAAGAAATCTAGATTTAGTTCACCTTCTGTGAAAGAAATTCAAGGACCGTAGTGTGTGTATATGTCTGCACGTGTATTTAAAAAACATAGCTGACAGCTGAAATAAGGTACTTTGAGAATGAATGATGGTGATTGCCAATGATTTGCACATAAGCAGGGAGATTTGTATTGCAACTCTGCACACCGCCAGTTTGTTTTTGGTTTGAGAGCCTTTGTGTCTTTCTCTTCTGCATCCCCTTCTGAGGCACTTCCTGTGCTGCTGGGGAACCCAGGCAATGCCTTTCCTCCACCTCATTCTTCATCAGACACAGAAACATTTTCTTAAAAACAAAACACAATCAACAGCCCTCCCATTCACTTCTTAAAAAGCACACAATAAAAAAGTGGTTTTTCTTGTGCTGTATGTTATCTGTACGTATGATGTGATAGGGATCTCATTCGTTCCCAAAGCTGAATTTGGTGTAGACCTTTATGTGAATTGAGTTGTTCCTGTGCAGAAAAGTTTGCTCCAGACATAACCGTATGAAAGGGTGAGGCTTGGGCAGGAGCCTGTATTGCTGACAGGCAGCGTTTCAATGTGTGTCTTGATGGTTACTGCTCTTTAAGAAAGCTGGATGTGAGAAGTTTGTCAGCGCCGAATGCACAATGTTCAAAACAATTGAAGAGCTTTCTAAGAGGTTTTCTACTGAAAAGCTAGGGTTTTTCTTATTTTTTTTATTTTTTTTTTTTTACTCAGTCATCTGCTTATCAAGTCATTTAATATTGTTATATGTAATTCTCTATTGACAGCATGAAATTGGTAACACTTCAGTACTACTACTAAAATATGAAAAAAGTTCTGTTTAGAGTCTTATCTGTTCATTCGTGCATCAGAATGGGCTGAGAACAGAAGAGGGAGGCAGTTGTGCACCAAGGGAGGAGGAGGCTAAATTGCAGGAAGCTTGAATTCTGGGCAGAAATAGAGATGTTTACCAATTGGCCTATTGTGTTTCTTTGGTGGCTGTTAAGCAAATAGAAAGAGTTATTTTGGCTAATTTGCAACAGATTAAAAATAAAAAATAATTGAATTTCATGTATTTAAACAAAGAATGCATATTAAATAGGCAGGTAGCAAATAAACTTTTATGATGTACTGTATTATGTAGTAAGAGTATTCTGATTTATGTTTTCTCCAAAGTATAAAAAAGAATGTAAGGAAAGTATGAACAGTGGAAATTGTTTTTCTGTTTAATGTAATGTGGAAAAAAAACATTGGTTATTGTTAAACAGAACTTGCCAGATGAGAATTACGTGTTTATTTGTATTGAAACTTTTCCAAGTGGGATGGCCATTTCTTCTTACACACATAGATCTGTACTAACTGGAAATGAAAAGGTAACATGGGAAGTAAATAAGGTTTGAAGAACAGTTTTGGATATGAGTGGTGTCAGGGAACTGAGAAAAGATTATGCATTAAGTCCAGGAAACAGAGAAGATGGGGTCAGTTTGTCCAGTCTGGGAATTTCCAACAGTCTTCCAGACAGTTGCAGTAAAGATAGTTAATCAAAAGCAGAGGTTGATCTGCCACTCTTTGGGTCAAGGATTTCGAATGTCCGTACTGACTGAGGTATCTTACACTTGATGAGTGCAGACCTCCATCGCACATCCAGTACCAGAGTGCTCAGAGTGTTCCTCGTTCTCTGTAAGAGCCATTGAGGTCCTTTTCTCAAATCTAAAAGAAGTTTCCAGCTTCTAAGATGTGCTCCCAGGCAAACCTCAGTTCTGCCTGTTGTTGCAGTGCAGAAGATGTGCTATACCAGAGACATAACAGAAAGGATTAGTGTTAATTAGTTCTGAATCAATTAGGGAACACCAGGAGGCAGGATAGTGAACTGACCAATGATTTTTTTCTTAATTTTTTTTTTTTTTGTCTGCACATGCCCTCAGTTTTACAAAGCGAGTTTCTTTCATGGGCAACCTAGAAGTGGAAAAAAGAAGCTTTAATTACAGATATTGTGCATCTTTTTCTTCAGTCAAGTGTGATGGGTTGACTGAGTAGATCAAGACCACGAGGGGCTTTCAAATGGGGAAGAAATGCTTTTTGAAGTTGGTTGTATTCAGGTGACTGCATTTTAGAGAACAGTTCTTAAATGGACAAAGAGGGTCCAGAAAGAAGGGCAAGAAGAAAGTTTAGTAAAATTCAGCTGTTCTGTGCTGAACCACTTCTCCAGATTTCAAGTGTAATATTTACCCACAGTGTACCAAAGAGAAATCTGTTCATGTCATGTTAAATAGGTGCTCCCGAAATGAAACTGTCAGACGGAAACTGAAACGTACTTCTTTGGAAGTCGTTGGTTGAAGTGCAGAATTTAAAGGTGCTCTGCAACTCCATTGCTAGGAAGAAGGAAGCAAGGCAGTTCTTCAGTCCTTCTAACAGGACTGCGTGCGGAATGCCATGCTCAGCTCCGAGAAAGATAGGGCTCCTGTTTGTATCTGGTATCATAATTTCAAATGTTACTCTTCCTATTTAAATTTTATATTTTGTTTCCAATTAGGAGAATTATGGCCTACTAAACAAAACTCCAAACACCTTTTCTAATTATTTAAAATTACACCATTAAATGCAAATTTACTTTATGAACAGCAACACCACTAAATGCTAATAGCATGTCTACGCACTGGTGATGGATTATTATTAAATAAACATAAGGTCTTCTTTGTAAGTGTTTGATGCCCTATCAGTGCAAGTCTAATCATTGTTGTAGGGTAGTGTTTAGTGCAGTAGCTGATAGATTTTTGTGCAGTCTCATGACTTTTAGGAAGTGATGTGAAGGAGAATTGCAGAGGGAAACCAAATCAATCCACTTCAGTGGAATATAAACATATGAATGTAAGAATCTGTGTGAATCAGAATTCTGTACATAACCATGATTTCTGATGTGGGCTTTTAACCTCTGGACAAGTGCTTTACTAACTCTCACTCGTGGGTTTTTATTTGAGAATATGAGCCAATGCATTGAGAGGTGAAGGTACTCTGCACCTTGCAAAGTCAGCATGTCACCACATGCTCCAATAATGCAATTTGCTTTCTTTTTCTTTGGGTTTGCAGGCAGGAGCTTCCCAGGTCATCTTCACTAATCCACTGGAAATTGTAAAGATTCGGCTGCAGGTAGCGGGAGAAATTACTACAGGACCCAGAGTCAGTGCCCTCTCTGTCATGAAAGATTTAGGCCTTCTTGGTCTCTATAAGGTATGTGTTTCTGCTCTAAGTGGTTTCTTTATAGCTCTGCTAACCCATTTTATGTTAAACTTTTACAGTGTTGAAACAAAGACTGTTAAAAACAAAAGAAACCTTTTGAATTTAGAACCAATTTCTTCCTGCAGGGCAGCCCCACCATGGAAAACTGAAGAAAACCCACTTCTATATTAATGGCAGTGGGATACATAAAAGTACTCCCCCTTTCTGTCCTCTGGGCTTTTATACCGAGCTACAGGGAGTCCTGTATTGCAGATCTGCTGGCTTCCAGTACTGATAATTTCATTTGGTGGGGTTTTGTGAGAAGTTTCTTTACCTTTCCTGTGTGTTTTTCTTACATTTATTTTGAATCTCCGTTATCTCTATTGTTATCTTTACAGCAGGATATTCTCTTTGTCTTAATAATTTGATGGCAGCGAAACAGTGGTGCAGTTTAGCAGGATTCAGATTTTTAAGAAGTTAAATGGTGGGATTTGTCAATAACAAATTCCACTTTAAAAAAAGCCCATACTATACTGTACTTCAGCAGAGTGCCAGTCAACAGATTCCTTCCCTGCAGGTACACTTACTACCATCATTACAGATCAGATGTAATGGAGCAGAAGCTATTAGTTTTCTTAAACAAGGAATAGTATTTCTTGCTGAATCTTCTGCCAGCACAAGGGGTAATACACAAATTCAGCACTTGTATTATCTGTGCACTTACAAAACATTGCTTACCTGATTTGTCATAGGCCTGTAATAATAGTATAGAAATGTGCAAATTTATTTCTGGAGCTGAACCTTTTGCTTTGAATTCAATAAATCAGATTAACAACCATTACCTTTCCCAAAGATCACAGATGTTTTGATACATGGGACAAAGTTATCATTTCTCTTTGTAGTAATTCAACAACTGAGCTTACTAAAAATTCTTCAGAAATTAGGATTGCATTATCTTTTGTGAGTAATTGCACAAACACATTTAGAGCATAAACTATCTGCATGGAAATGACTGAGGGCACGAGATTCTCTGTACTGGAGTCCTGCTTCAGCCACACAGGGTTTGTAACAGGTGCTGTTCCTGCTGTTCCACTACATCTCACTGCAGAGGGGGACAGGTCTCAGCTGGGCCCATTGTGTGGAGGCTGCTGCCTGGAGTATAGAGTACTAGAGTTCTCATTTGGAAAGGAGGTTATTTTTGTAACATGCATGCTTTCAGGGTATGTGGATGAGATTTTTGACATTTTGTTGGTTGTTTGAGCTTTGCACTGAAGGAGTTATTTTTCAGTTAGTAAAAGACTAATGACTGGAGTTACCAAAAGAATAATATTAAACGTTTTGTTAGGAGTGTTCCACTGTTTTTACAGTGTACAGACTTCTTTTAAGGCATTGTTTTGTGCCAGGTTTTTGCCAGGAGCTGCTTCTTACAGTGTTCTCCTCACTGAAAGCCTCCCATTTTGCAGTGGTTTCCCTTTTTGGTGCAGCTTACTTACTCAACTATGTGATCATCTGTGCAGAGCAGTATGAGGTGTTACAAACCTACATGGTATTTTAGTGATGATTTTGAGTTTGATGGAAAGAATGGCATGCAAGGACTTATCTCACTGCTTCTGTGGTTGTGGGTCATTGTGAGAAAGACATCAGGACAGACCTTGTTGCTTTCTCTGTTGTGTTTGGACACATCAAATATAAAAGGTAGTTATCCTAGGTACTGATGTCAGAATTATTGTTGCATAGCGCTTAATAAACTTATATGTGAACCTTGAATCATCCTTACTCTAGAAGCCTGCTTTAGTTTTTGAGTTCAATTCCACATCTTCTGTTCCCTGAATTAGTTTATTTTCTGTGTTGTTTACCTGGTAGATCAAGAGAACTGATGCTTCCTGGGCTCTGGATATCAATTTTAACCTTATTTACAAAATTTATTTTTATTACATCTGTTTTCTGCATGACAGGGTGCCAAAGCTTGTTTCCTCAGAGACATTCCCTTTTCTGCAATCTACTTTCCTGTTTATGCTCATAGCAAACTGATGCTCGCTGATGAAAATGGCCATGTGGGAGGGCTTAATCTCCTTGCAGCTGGAGCCATTGCAGGTAATTTTTTTCTTTCAGTAAGTAATATTTAATATTCATTCGGTAGCCCCATATAAAGGAAGGGTATGGTACTATTGTGTCTGATTTAATCTAAATTTGATCACTGTTATCCTTAGTGGGAGGCGATGTAATTTTGATGAGAGCTAATTACATTTGCATAATGTGGATAAACAGTGTAATGCAGCTCAGCAACTTGTAGTCAAATTTGATCTGTCTGTCTCAATGGGGTTTTACTTGTTACTGTGCTCTCTGAGTTGAAGGCTAATTTGAATCTTTGATGAACATAAAATGAGATACC